ACTGCCCGTCCTCTCGGAGCTCCTCCCGCTCTGGATAGCCCGCCCCCGTCTCGGGCCGCAGGCTCTCCCCCTCSTAGCCTAGGAGCTCAACTCTTCACCTCTCAGGGTCAAGGGGCCCCTCAGCGCTCCGACTCTAAGGCGCGACGTGGGGTGCGAGAGCCGGGCGCGGGCGGGACTTGCACCCGCGCGGGGCGAACACTAACGCCCATCCTTGCAGCGGCCCAGGCCGGCCCCGCACGGCTGAAAATCSCAAGTCGTTGAAACAGGAGTCTTTCCGTCAGCCCGTGCCCCCGTATTGCGCCAGAGGTTATGGGTGCCCTTGCCCTCCTCCTGATCTCGGAGGGAAGAGGCCAAGGCTGCGGGCACCTTTGCGGGCCTCAGACCTGCGCGGCGGTGAGCAGCTCCGGCCAGCTAACTTTGATCAGCCTTATTAATTCCAGCTGAGCTCTATTTGTTTGTCGTTTCCCTCTTTTCCTGTGGAATCATTATTTATTGCAAAAAAATAAAAGTGCCCGCTGGTAGAAAGGAGGCAGGGAGCGAATTTCTGAGAACCCGAGGGCAAGTGTGAGTGTTTCCTCTTAAAGGTCACCTAAGGAGGGGAGGGAAAAGGRTGGGTCTGATCAGCTCTACTTGGAATTCATTACTCAAGAGCTTTAACTAATTACCAGATCAGAGAAATGTAAAAGCAAATATTTCTTAAAATAACCGAAGGTAATTATAACCCTGTTGTTGACACTAACGATTAATAATTGATCAGGAGTTACACACAATAAATTGTCAATTTATCTCCCCACAAAAATGCAAAGGCTTGTGTAGCATTGTGTTTTCTTCTCCCCTCTGGGCATTTCCTAGGAAGATGGACTGGATTTGGAGGCAGACTGGAACCTCCCAGTCAATTCTTTAAGAATATTAGATTAGAATAACAACACTGAGACACCTTTTAAAAAGGCCTTTCCTTATGATCTTGGGGCCAGGTTTAAACAAACAAACAAACAAAAATTCTTCCTTTTTCCTTTACCTGGGATTGCAAAAGAACAGATGACGTATTTCATAACTCACTTTTAAACCGCATTACAGTGTAGTCCTCCCAAATAATGCCTTCAATTTTTATCTTTCTTAGAAAAAAGGAGAACACTCTGCCCTCATTGTAGGACAGCCTGGTTCTCTGCTGGGGTGGAGGGAACAGGGATGTCAGCTGCAGCTATGTCCCTGTTTTCAGGGAGAGCTGGTGAAGACAGTGAAGGATGCAAATGGGGGGTTGAACCCTAAAACTGGGTCTAGAAGTGGTCTCCTTTCATCCACCAGTGGCTGAGGTCCAATCACCTCTTATGAATGCCAGAGTCTTAGGGCTGCAGCCAAAGCAGAGAGGAGGGTCCTGAGCATTTTCATTATGACCAATAGAAAGTAATTTTCAGCAACTGGAAAATTATATTGTCATAGATTACTTCTCCTTAAAATAAGCCTTTAAAATATCTGTAGGGATTTGTCACTTGCATAAAGGTTTGAAAATACATCAAAGGGACATGTCCCCCTTGTGATTTGTAGAAATTCAAATGATGTTAATCACACAATATCCATATATCAGACGGTTCTGTATTGTTCCCAAGATCACCTTTTGGGTTAACATTTTTTTTTTTAATATTGAAACTTTATTTTTGTAAAAGTGGTTTAAAAACACGTATCTAATAGATGTATTTATACCTTCAATTTGGGGTTTAACTGCATGTTTCCTTGGGGGTTGCAATATACTAAGTAACTGTGACAATTATTGTTTGTTACTTGGAGGAAACTTTCTAGTAATTCGGAGTGTTATCGAAATTCAGAAAGGCTTCCGCTGGGGTCAAAAATGAAATGATTGTTCTCAAATTTATGTCTGCTCTAACAGCGGTAGTTCAGCGTGAACTTATTCTGGAACATTGGGGAGAAAGGGTATGCTTCACTTTCAGCCTCTTCAATAAATATTTAAATGCAACTGTACTTGACCTTAAAAGGCAGCACATTGGAGGGCAGCTTCTCTATCCCTGTGTTTTTCTCGCAGTTGGAACATCCCGGATTGCAGATATCTGATAAACACGCGCASTGAAGAACGCCTCGCGCAGAATACCCCGCCACTCTCCAACCTCCAGAATGAACCGCGGCGGTGGTCCGGCAGGGGTGGAGAGGAGGCGCCCCCAAGACTCCAGGCTGCGCGGAGCCAAGCCCTGCATTACCCCCTCACGCCCTCCCCTTCCTCTCCCTCGCTCTCCACCCCTCCCGCCTCGCAGTAGACAAAGGTAGATGAAGTTCTTTTCAAGTTTCAAAGGCAGTTGCTGGGCAGCTTTGCAGAAACAATAACTCTTTTATTGGGAACAAATGTTGACATTTGACGGGCGCGGGAGGCAGCCAGCGCCCGCGCCGGCCGCCGGGCAAGCGCCCCTAGTTCTCTCGGCAGAGCCCAGCCCCTGGGGCCCACCTGAGATTAAGGCGCGAATTCCGATAAATCAGCTTTAATGAAACGCGGGGCAGAGGAGGGCAGAGGGGCTGTGGTGCGCAGGGCCGGCGCGGGGGGCGGGGGCGCCCAGGCCTGCACCCACGACTCTGCCGTCGCCCCCAAAGCCCTCCTCACTCTAGCCGGGGTTGCTTGCTATGCCCCCATCTCAGGGGGCAGCTGCAAAGTTTTGTTTGGAGCTGCTACGTTATTTTTTGATTAACACGTTTTAACAGCAAAAATCAAATTCAGACCTATCCTCTTCCTTCCCCAACCAAAGGTCTCTCACGTGTTTTCCAATGACCTGCATGGAGAAGAGTTCTTAAGTCACTGTATTTCTTTTAAAAGATTCATCTAAACACCTGCGGGTTTCATGTTGCTAGTGTATATTTAAAAATCAAGTTCTCCAGAAAGAAATTCAGGTCAGGAGGCAGGGTGGGTAAGTTATGGAAATCTTGGATAATTTGTTGGGCATATAAACATCAAAGAAGCTTCATTAGCCTTGGCTAATCTCCTGAGCCGCTTTGAGTTTTCACCAGTGGAAATGTGCATGTTTTCTCCAAGAGTGGGGGTCTGACACAAGTGTGTAGGGAAAGGAACCAGGGAGTCAGTGTCCAGGTAAAACACCACCCTGCTCCACAGGAGGTAGCTCTTACCCAGGCCTGAGTTTCTGAATCATTGCAGGAAGATCAGTTGTGGCTTGGGGTTTCTGTCCCCATCCTCCACCCTTCTTCAAGAGATGAATTCACTGCCTTAAATATTGTGTCTTCATTAGAGTTGATATTCAGGTGTTTAGTCTGTAAATATTGCTAACTCACATTTTTCACTGAAGCCCTCCGAACACATTATAATGTTACATATAATAGAAATATGGCTGCCATGTCTATTTTATTCCCTGCTGATTTCAGAAATATGACTAACATTAATAAACTACTTAATACCTTCCTGGAGGGGAACATCATTATTTTCATGGAAATTCTGTGAAGGTTTTATGTCTGAAACCCAAACCAGAAAACGCACTCAAAGCTCCGTCCTACCTTCCCAGACCTCTCATCTATTTGCTTCCCATCACGACACAGGTGACATGGGTCCTGTCTTGCCAATAGGTAGGTAGCTCAGCTCCAAACGTTTCTATTTCTATTACTGGGGAGGAAGGAAGAGAGAAAAAACAGTGCCTGGCCTCTGAACGCCTGTGTATTTAAAACCCAGAAATGCACAAGCAGTCCTGGAAGAGGGAACCTCCACCTCCCTCTCTTCTCCACGGTCAACCCCCCACACCCCCCCATCTGAATGGCTGTGTCAGGCTAACAGTCCCCTGGCTTTGCTCAAGTACCTAAGATTACTTTCAAATACCCTTTCTAACGAGACCCCAGCAAGAGGCCACTAATTTCTATGGCACAAAAAGCCACTGGAGAGAGATCCGTTTGTCAATATCAACTGGTCCAGCAATTTCCCATCCTCAGACACATCGCCTATCGGAGCTGGCAGATGTTTAGACAAGATTTTATAAATCGTTCAATCTCAGCCCATAATGAACCCCAACTGACCATTCCAAAGCAGCTAAATGCACCCGAGACCTCCCCCGCTGGGATCCAATAACACTCTCGAGCTGCACCATTATTAATCACGGAATAGAATAGGTGAACCGCTTGAAAAATAAGTGTATGATTGATTAAAGGGCAATCTAAGAAGCCATTATTCTTGTTTTATAACCGTAAGTTATATTCACTCGATTTATCTTTGGAGAGGAAATAAATGATTGTTCATTTCTTTTCTGAAATTATATTATATGGATATCCACATAATTTTGCTGAAAATTAAAGTGACAGGGTTGCTGCTTTTATGATCCTAATCAAAGGGGATGCGTTTCTTGACTGCAAATGTTAGGCTTGTCCTGTAATGAGGGAGTGAGTAAGGCAATAAGGAGACTTTCCTTTTCCCTCAGGGTAAGAGTAAGTACCACCAAAAGGGAACAAGATCCCTGCCCCAGACCTGCCCCTGGTGTTGAGGGGAATGATGTGAAAATCAGAGTTAAAAGTCATTCAGGAAATCTGAATAATCTATGCCAATTTGGATAATTTGGGCTTTAAAAAAACAATATTTTCCATCAGTAATTTCTTGTGGGAAGTGYAATTCTCCATTATCAATATTATTACTCTTTTCTAGTTTAGTTTGCTGAGGAGGTTTAATAAGCCAGCATCACAAATAAATGTAAAATGCATAGGAGTGTCAGATCATTTTATTTTTCCAAGTTTTAGAAATTTACACTAACAAAGAATTTGCATATTCAGAAAACAAAAATCTTATGATCTTGCAATACATTTGTACATAAATAGTCTAGAAGCATATATATCGCCCTATTGTGTAGTTCTCTCACATCTGCCTTTTTTTTTTTTTTTAATGCTCTTGAGAAAGGAGAGTTTATGTCACACAGCTTTTCATTAAAAAGGTGAGCTCAGATCACCTGGAGGCTACTATCCCTAGGGCTCTAACCCAAATCACTCTTCAGGAAAAATGAGCCCCAAACACCATATTATTGTAGACTAGTCTGTCTTTATTTACAATTAAAGATATAAATTAGTAAAGAATTCGTGTTAAACAACCAACAAAGATTGTATAACCAGCAATGTTCAAATAAAAACCAGGCAGAATTTATTTACAAAAAGTTTAGATTTCATTGCAATACAACTTGCATAAATTACTAGAAGCTTTATATCATTATAAAAATAAATATCAAATTTGTTTCCACTTCTGAAGTACTCAAGTTCTTCAATCACGTTTTATTTCTACTGTGTACATCTTTTACAAATAAATTTTACAGTAAATCCTATCACACCTATAGAATATATACCGTGGCAATGAAGTGATCAATTTGAGATATCCTGAGAAAAGAACAGATTGTTTTCAAAAGTCACACGTACATCGGGGAAACTATACTATGCCAACAAATTCACATACATCCAACAGTGTGTTCCAATCGTCAGAGTCTGTGGGTTCAAGTGCTGTGTGGATCCTTCTCTTTACAGTGGCACAAGATGTGGTCCAGATTTACAGATCTGCTTTTTTGTATCTGTATATTTATGAGCTTGGGAAGAGAGAATGGCCTGCTGACTTTTTTTTTTTTTTCCAAAGCAATTGTGACACCTACCTGTGGACCAAGGAAAAAACCAAATCATCCCAAATCCTTCAGTTCCACACCAACACTATCACATTGGAAAAATGAGTCTATCTGAAACGGATCCACCTCTTTCCCATCTTCAGATCTGTGATTAGTCATTTTGCCTAGTTGTAAAGTAACAT